CCTCGGCGCTCTGTAATTCCGGAAATGTATTCTAGCTGGAGGCTCGAATGCAGCGCTTATTTGTCCAATGAAGCGTTCGCATCCTGTCCACAGCGCCGCCAGTGAAGCTCATTTGGCAGAGGCACTGTGCATTATTAGCTGGTAAATAAAGTGGCGTGGCGAGAGCGCGTGTGTGCGTGCGAGCAAACTCAAGAGAGTCTCACTGGCCTTGAGTCTGTATTGTATTTAATAGACCTCTTCTCTCAGTCCAGTCCAGCCTTGTTTTAATGAAACAATAACAGCTACAGCCTGTCACCATCTGCTCTTATTACTGCTTCCACCAGCCCACCCTCCCATTCCCTGTCTCATCTCTTCCTGTCAGAGCACTTCCATCACGTTCCACCTTCAGCTGCTCCTTGTTTTTATCGCAATCGTGCAAAAACATTCACAATTTACACAGCTGAAGATCATTCCCTTTGCCAAAACAGCCTCCTATGATGCACTTAACCAAATGCCGTCAATGATCCTAAGCCTTTTGCAGCCCAAAAACATTAATGCAAAACATTTATTTTATGATGTGCGTTGTCAGTTGATTAGTTGATATTCAAAAATTAGTGCCTAAACATTTTACTGTTTGATCCCTGCAGAGAACTCCATACCAAACAGACACGCAGCTGCATAAATAAATATATACATGAATATGTAACACTAGCATGATTAGATTGAATCTTTGGATGCTAAACTGTGCAGGTTATGTTTGTATAAGTCTAATAAATGATTTATATTACCCAGTCTACGCACACATCACTTCCACTGATTCCAAATGCCTGGATAGATAACAGCTAATCTGCATTGGAATGCAGTGTTTGTTTCTTGTGATTGCATTTAAATGAAAATGAACTTTGGTGAAGCCGTTGACATTTTTAAGATATGAATAACTTTAAATTCTTTATTTTATTATCTACATGTAGTGAGTTTCTTCTGAACTGTGAAGCTGGTCTTTTCTGAATATCCTTTTATCTTTTTTTCTGGACTTGAGCTGATTTTGTATGGAGTGAAATTTGCTCCAGTATAAAAAATAAAAAAAGAAATACAAATCAAAACTTAAACTTGATGCTTGAAAACGTGTTTTGAGAGTAACTTTACTGTATTCTCAGATTTGATTTTTTTTTTCAAGGCTCAACTTACATTGTTTTCCACTTTTTGTTTTTTACAATTTTTTAATTTTTTAATGTTGTGTTTTAGTTTTCTTTATGTGAATCTATTCTTTTTAGATTACCGTATTACATGCTTTCTGAATTCACATTCTCTTCACCTCAAACAAAAAACATTCTCTTCAAAAATACAAAAACGCACCCTAATTGCGTATATTGACCAACACAATGTGGATGCTTTTGTCCAAGCTGATCACTATAAATGCTTTATTCCCTCTCACTCTAGATGAAACCCCTCCTCCAGAAGTGAAGAGAATGTGATCTGTGAAACTAAGCTTGAAAAGAATAAAATTCTTAAAATGTGATCTGAAAAACTCAAATCTATTAGCTTAGTAAATTAGCCCCACTAAATCACACATTTAATGTCACATTTAGTCTGGTTTATCAGGCTACAAATCAATGAAAAAACAATTAAAAATATAAATAAACTATAAAACTATATCGATGTAAAGAATAAAAAAAAAATCAATATGAAAAATCATTTGACAAAATAAAATATTCAAAAATTTATTTTTAAAAACAAACCCAGCAAAGTAACTCTCAAAAACTCTTTTTGATTAAAATGGGTATTTTTTAGATTGCTTTACAACATTCAATTTACAATCATGTTTTGTTTTTGTTTTTTCTGCTTGCAGAAATAATGGACCAAAATTCATTCCATAATTTTTAACTCCTTTGTTTCTATAGCATAACTTTTTTTATGAGGTGCATCAAGTAGAATCTAACATATTTTGAAATCTCAAATTTAAGGCAGTAGTAGTGATTTATCTTTTTTCCATATACAAACAAAAGTTTGCATTGGGTCATCTAGCATCACCACCCTAAACATAGGATGATTTAGGGGTTAGCCGTCAAATGTTACTCCTGCTTTTTAAATATGTCACTACTAGGTACTGCCCATACCTTGAAGATTAAAATGTATGCCAAAACTTAGTTTAACAGAGTAATGGACGTGTTCCGACAGCATTAACAATATGCTGTGGGTGTAATAATTGGAACTTCGTATGAGCTAAGCTAACGTTAGCTTAACTGTTCATTGATGAAATTGACGTTCATAAACAGATATTTACATTTCCAAGCATTTTTTTTTTTTTACTGCTGTATCCAACATTGTGTTTGTGAATTAGTCAGTTATTGATAGAGATGGATGACATATATAAAGTAAGAATTCTACTCTTGTTGATTAGCCTAAAGACACCTCGCTAAAGCTAGTAGCCATAAAGCGAGAGAACAGTACTCCCTCAAGGTGCCGGAACAAAACATGGAGATATAAACTCCCAGAAAACCCTCATTTGCTTTAAATTAAGATAAAACATTAAGCTATAATTTCATTTCATTTTCACTTTCATATTTTTATGTAATTCTTCTGTTTTAATGAGTTCCTTTTCATCTTTTTAACTATATGCATTGCCTTGGTGCCACTATAATGAACTTTTCAGTTTTTTCCTCATGTTCAGCACTTTAAATTTTCAGACCACTATAATGTGTGGTATCAATAAACTTTATTTTTTTAGAGTCTCCATAGTAAACATACATCATCTATGCAGTAAAAGATGCTTCCCCCCCCATCCTCTGTCGTCACGGCGACCTTTTTTGCACTCCCTCGCCCTCGTCTCTTTCTGTTTGCCTTCCCTCCTCCGTCTCCGTCTGCTGACTCCCTTCCATCCCGGGAGGGCCTTACGCCACCACGCTAGCCGTTAAACGACATGTCATTGCCACGCCGCAGGCAATGTCATCCGTCCTGCAAGGGGCTTGCCTGGCACCTCTAATGCCAGTCCTACGGTGCTGATGGGTTTATATCACATTGAGTGAGCTCTCATACGGCTGACCGACTGATATATGGCCTCATTATAATGTTTGATGGCTGCGGTGGAGCCGGGTGATTATACTGCTGATAGAGCGCAGCCAACGAGGGATTCAATAAGCTGATCGCTCATTAAGACGCAAATCGATCAGGAGCATTGACTTTTTTTTTTTTTTGTTCAGTGACTGTGTGAACAGGTGTGTCACGGTCTGGTTGGTTTGTTTGTGCGCCCTCATTGAAGGAGCCGCCATGTTTTTTTGCCAGCGCCGGCTCGCCGAGCGCTTCAGCCCCTGGGCCTGACCGTGCCAGCTGCTGGGAGGCAGTTCAGAGTCAGCTGTTGCTGGCGACAAAGAGGCGCGGAGGAGGGGCTGTCAAAAAAAGAAAAAAAAAACAGAATTGGAATTGTTTTGTGTGTGCACAGCTGGTGAGCTGCTCCTCTTTGTGGATGGTGATAGCTGCTGACACCAGGCTGTGATTTGCTGAACGGTGGGCACAATGCAGTCTGTGGAGCTAACTGCCAGGTTCAGGAAAACTTCACTTTTTCAACCATGAATTATCTCATCAGCAGTGCATTTGTGCCTGTACAGTTACATTTTTTTTTATTTTTAGTCCTCCTCCGCAACAGTTTGTTGGCAGAGACCACTAGATTGCTCTTTAGGATCTTTCATTTCAAAATCCCCATCAGGTTAGGGATCCCTCCAGTTTTTAGATGTCTCTGCTCCAGCACATCTGGACCAAAA